TTCGCATCGGGCGCGAGGCGCCGTCAACGAAGTCCGACGAGCCCCGAGCGACGGGACTCGACGGACGGAAAAGAATGCGTGGCTCACCGTTTGAAGTCCCGGACTGTACTCACCGCTCCCGACGCAGCGCGCGAAAACCTCTTGCGAGTCCCCGCGCGCGGCGCCACAGTCAACATCCGCTTCCGGGTGAGGGAGTTAAACGTCACTCCGCTCTCCCACCACGGCTGACAGCAAAGGAGGGCAGACATGTCGGGACATGAGAACGGCAGAAAAGGCGGCAAAGCCCGCGCAAAGGCAGCGGGCTAGCCTCAATTCCCACAACGTTGACACGGAACATAAAAACTGGGATCAGATATTGCCGTACGTGACCTTTGCCTATAATATCACTCGACAAGAAACCACTGGAATGACGCCGTTCAGTCTGATCTATGGTCGCGAAGTCACGACAACGTTGGACGCCATGTTGCCGCATGAGTGTGACGACATCCATGTAGACGCCGAAGAGTTCACTCAGCGTGCCGAGGAAGCCAGACAGCTCGCGCGTGTGCGCATCTGTCATCAACAGCATCAAGATGCACAACGGTACGGTCCCCGACACAAGTTTATTAGCTACACACCAGGCGACGAGGTCTGGGTCTGGATTCCGATACGTCGACGTGGACTGTCGAAAAAACTGCTAAGACGTTACTTTGGCCCATACAGCGTCACGCGACGCTTGAACGACGTGAACTATGAAGTTGTTCCCGACACTGACTGTAGTTCTAAGCGCCAAAAGCATTTACCCGAAGTCGTACACGTCGTGCGTATGAAACCGTATTTATCCAGTTGACGCGACCACTTATACGCCTGGTAGAGCGCCTAAGTTGCGCATCGCGACGATGCCTCTTTCGGAGGGAGGCAAATGTCACGTGCTTGTCAAAAAGAAAGACAATGACCGTTGTGCATGTGCCATGAAGTACAATGAAATGGATGAAAAAGAAAAACTCTCTTGCGCGTTTTATTAAAAGAACCTACCTGCTTCTGGTCTCAATTTCTGCGGCAAGACCTCTGTTTCGACGTCGTGACAATATATATATATATATATATATATATATATATATATATATATATATATATATATATATATATATATATATATATATATATATATATATTCTTAGCGAGTCCTCCGCAGGCTTCTACCAATAATCGCTTCATACGTCACACGATTCCCCCTCCCCCCGAAAGAAGGCATGGATTACGTACAAGGAAAAGCACACAAGGAGAGGTTGAGAAGTCACAAATGTCAAAATGCACAATTGGTTTCATGGCTCCGTGGTGTTCCGTAAACTTGCAAAACTTCAGGAAAGAGTGCAGCAGTCCGGTTAACGCAGGAGTTCTGGTGGGCGAGGCTGATGGTTGCGTCCTGGATAACACAAGAATGCTTTGGACGTGGAGATAGCGGAAATCGCAGCCGGCATTCTTGTGAAGAACAAACGAGGTTCGAACACCTTGCAGAATGGACAGTTCAGATATCGTAGGCATCGAATTCTTCGTCGTGGCACGGGTCGTGCAGGCAGCTTGCGTGCGCGTTGATCGAGGTTGATTGGGCGCTGCCTGTGTTTCTGCCGAGTACAAGGGGTGCTTTTGTGGCTTTTGGAAATTTTTCTATGGCGATGTCGCACATGGTTTGATGGAAGGCACATTCTTGATCTTTGGTGGAGAATGTATCCACCACGATGGGCCTTTTTGCAATGTTCTTCAAGCCTTAAGAGTGCACTCGATGAAGTTTTGTTTCGCCGTTGACAATGTTTAAGTATGCGTTGACGTTGTAATTTCTTCGTTTCGTCAACTTGCTTGTGGTGTGACAATGATCTTGTTGCGCCAGGATTCTTAGCGAGTCCTCCGCAGGCTTCTACGACACCAACCAATGCAACTGTTTCCGGCGCAAGATAATGTGGCGGGTTTGATGCACTTGAATCTTCTGTATTTATAAACCGTTCATTGTTGGTCGTTGCCTGAAGCGTACTTATGTCATCAGAAGTCGCACCTGCGGTTTTGTTTTCATTATATGCAGTGAGGTTGTATACTGGATTCACGTCGCTTCGATCTTGTGATTGATGAACACTCGACTCTTCTGCATAACACGTTTCTTCACAAGATGCTGATTGTGAATGCTTCTGTCTCTGCGGAACTGCTGAACTGAATACTTTGAACAAATGAGATTCCTGTGAACATTCGTTGTCTGGGTTGGTTTCGTGCGGATTTACTAACTCATCATGCGTAAATGCTACGATCTTGTGAGGTGCTTCATCAGGTTTATCAGTAAAGTTGATGACAGGAGATGGAACTGCTGAGCTGAATACTTTGAACGAATGATGTTTCTGTGAACATTCGTTGTCTGGTTTGGTTTCATGTGGATTTACTAACTCGTCGTGCGTAAATGCCGTCACGTGTCCGAAGCCGTGTGGGCCATGTGGGCGACATGAAGCATAAAGTGATTCGGGTTGTTCAGTAATACCTGAAGTATTATGGTGCCGTAAATACATTGGAAATGCCGATTTATTTGCCCGTGAAAAATCCAACCGTAAGTCCGGTCTTTTGGCAAAATGGTCTACATTCCTATCGGCATACGGTGGCATTACCTTCTCTGCTGCGACGTGCAAGTCCCTAGTTGGTGTTGTAATGCGTGAAGTGTATTTGGACGAGTCATACGATGGTACAATGGTGAAATATTCACTCTGAAGTCTGGTTTGGGAAATACGCTTACTGCGGGAAGACTTCGCGTAACTGTGATGGTTGAGTTGAAGAGACTTCAGCTGATGAGGCATGTACAGGTCTTCATCGTATTCTTTGAAACGGGTGATCATTTCTTCTTTGATCTTTTTCCAAGACTCATAGTTCTCTAAGATGTGGGTGAGGTAAAATTTGAATGCCTCACCTGAGATGTAGTCAGTGAAGTTGATGATCATCTCCCGTTCCGACCATGATGCAGCGGTGGCATGGAGCTCGAACAGGTTGAACCAGTCCTGTACGGGTCCATCGTCCACTGATCCGGTGTACTTAGGGATGTCAAGGTCTTCTGATGCTGCTCTCATGATGCTTGGTGGTCTTGGTGGTCCGCGTTCGGTCACTGCGTCTCGCTGAGGTCTTCGATGATGATGGCCGGGAGATGAAGTGGTTGCGAGGTCTTCATCCTGTCGACTCGTGTATCGTGAACATGGTGTCGTTATGAGGCAAACGGTGAGTGACAGGAACGCTTGAAGAGCCGCATGATGGAAAACCGGGTGGTGGACCACGTATTCGAGACGAAAAATTAAGTGCATGAGGTGGGTAAGCAACGTCTCGTGTCGTGTGCTGAAGCGACGACTTTGAAAATACCGGCTTTCGTGAAGATAAACCTAGTGGAAAGCTACGTTCCTTGAGAAATAAGCGTGGACTGCGACGGTCGTGTGTGGTTTCATGCAGATGGTCGGTAATGAGGAAGTCCTTGTCGTAGTCGTTAAAACGGGCAATCATCTTTTCTCTGATCTTTTGCCATGATTCGTCGTTTTCGAATATGTGTATCAGGTAAAACTTAAATGCCTCACCGGAGATGTAGTCGGTAAAGTTGGTGATCATCTCCCGTTCCGACCATGATGCAGCGGCGGCGTGGAACTCGAACAGGTCGAACCAGTCCTGTACAAGTCCATCGTCCGCTGCTCCGGTGTACTTGGGGATGGGAAGGTCGGTCGATGATTCTGTCATGGTGCTGGTCGCTGTGTGCGGCTAGGAGATGATTCCGTAGTCGATGTATGGTCAGGGCGTCTTGTGTAGAACTGCGTCGATGATGAGACACTGATGAAGTGGCTCGGAGGTCTTCATCCTGCCGACTCGTGTAACGCTATGATGAATGGGTGACGTGGCCTGGCTCATACGCCATGTTTATTTTGTTCTCACATCTTCCTTCTCGGCTTCTACCAATCATCGCTTCATACGTCACATATATATGCCGGGGTCTAGTGTTTAAGGTAAGGTCGCGGGATCTAATCAAGGCTGCGGCGGCTGCATTTCCGATGGAGTCGGAAATGCTGTAGGCCCGTGTGCTCAGATTTGTCTGCACGTTAAAGACCCCCAGGTGGTCGAAATTTCCGGAGCCCTGCACTACAGCGTCTCTCATAATCATATGGTTGTTTTTGGACGTCAAGCCCCACATATCAATAAAGCATCTCGAAATCTTGTGTTACGTGACGTGAAAGCATGACGAAAGTATATGGCTGGTGCAAACATGATAACCATGAGGTGTGTCATGTAACAACACGACTACATGCCACGCTCATCGTGTGCTCGCGGCCATTTCGCTTGCTTTCCATACACAAGACTCCTTATAGAGTCGAGCCACGTCCACCATCGTGCCTAGATGATAATTACGCTGATCAAAAACAAGCGCGTTCCAGACGACATTTCGGCCATCACGGCATGGCACATGCAATGTACCCACTAAACGTGACGACGATGACGCCGAACGAAGGCAAAACGAAATTTACCCCTCAACACATCACACTATTTATGACCAACAAACATTGTATACAACTGTACACCGCTTTGTCACTCATTTTTACATGCGTCGGTTGTAAATTTCCCGGGTGATTTACTGTAACACCGAACGATCCCACGGCTTCGCCCACTCGTCACCATTCCCGCGATAAACACTTTTTGACGCTTCTGTCTCATAGAAAATAAATTGCAACTGTGGACGTACCCCACGTTGCTGTAAACCTCCGTGAAAATTTCTAGGAATGTCTAATAACCGTTTCATGTATTCAACTTGAAGGGTAGCGTTATCAGAGCTAAGCGACTTATTGGTAGACATCTTCGGCTAGAAACGTCATGAAAACCACTGCAAAACGAACGATCCATTCCAGATATTTATCGAACATTATATATGTGTTTCATAGGCAGAAAGAGAAATCACTATAATTGTAGCCGTCATTAAAAATTACATTCACAATCTCGATCTAGCCACTCAGCCTCAAGCTTTCCTACCACAATCCGAGGCCAAATGGAAACGTTTCCCGCGTCGTCGAGGTCAGCAAATACGACTTGCACATACAAACCTTCTGCCACTTGCTCCTGGGCAGGCAAGTGGTTTGGTTAGCGTACTTGTCCAACCTCAGTACCAAGTCCACGCTCTTCACTGATGAGGAAAGGTTCCCAAGCGTGCCGTACACTTCGAAGACCGCATTTGGCACGGTGGTAATCTGCACTCGGAGCTGCACCGCATCATCCGCGAAGCCTGCGAGCATCCAGGCGCGGTCTACTGTACCAAGCTTCCAGACAACGCAGCTTTCCCCGAAGTGTACCTTGGCCAAAGCGTTGATGTAATCCACAGCGTGCCATGCGAAATTTAACGAAACCTTGGGATCGTTAACACTCCGGCTATCGTCAAGACACGCGCAAAAGTGGCGTGGTATGAAAGCGTCCGCGCACGTCCTCTCCGGTGGGATGGGGCCAAACAGACTCAAACCCTTGTCCGTCGAGTTGGTGCCAAACTTGGGCCATTCGGAGAGGGAAATCAGCGTGGCGTGCAGGTCGTAATTGGTGATTAGGCGACGCTGATTCACTTCTAGATGGGCAGCGACCATCGGGTTATCAGCCAGAAAGCGTTTCGGTAGCGCCAGGAAACAGAACGGGTTCTTGTTTTCATAGCGACCGATCTCAGTCGCGCTCATGCGGCCCATGCGCATGCCGTGGTCGCTCATGAACAGCAGAGCGGTGTTTTTCAAAACGCCGTAAGTTGCCGATTCTCTGAGAAAACGCTCCAGCGTATCATCCAAGAGCTGCAGCCCATTCACGTTATTGTGAGTGACGTACGAGAGCCAGACGAACGAGAACATTGGCCTCTCGTGATTGAGCTTCAGTATGTCAGCTAAGTAATTAACCAGTACTTTCGTCTTCAACCGAGCACCCATGCACTCCATTTTTTGCAAGTCTCCATCGTCCATCATTCGAAGGATAGAAGTTGGGTAGTAATCGGTAGGCACTTTCATAAGACCGACAAAAGTTGGGTAAACGAAAATTCCTGCGAACGGCCATTCTTCCATGTACAGCGTCGTATAACCACGCAGCTTGTATTCCTTCCAAATAAGCGGGAGTTGATCGAATTTTCCATATCGTCTGTACACACTTTCTGCTTCGGAGCCGGACATTCCCGTAAGAAGAGGTATAAGATTAGGAAAGGAGTTGTCATCCACCTTGTTGAGAGCGATAAACTCGAACGCATTCAGTTCTGCCTCAAGATATCTGCCCGTCTTGACCATGTGACGATGGAAGTTCATCCTGGACGTCGAGTCAATCCCGAGAATCAAAACGCTTATCGGCTTTTCGTTCCGTGCTGGCTTTTCTTCGTTCGCGTCGCTATTAACTGTGGCAAGGGGCTTTGACAGTGGCAGAAGAAAGTACTCCTTGAAGAGAGGTTTATCGTGTGCCTCGCACATCACTTGCACGTATTCAGCGTTAAGCCTATCCCCTAGTTTCAATGGCACATGTGGTCCGAGCACTGGCGCGTTGTCGGGCCCCGGAGCACTTTCGTTTCGAAATACTTCGCGGTAGTAACACTTAGTGTCCAGCTCGGACACGTTGTAAAGGCGTCGAAGCGCACTGGCGTTCATGACGATCCGACCGAAGTGCTGGGCAAGAATATCAGGCTCTTGGCCCGAGCACGACCGTTCGTACGGCACGTCTTCGGACAGCGACAGGCCGAGGGTCCAGTGGTACGAGTCGTAGAGCGGAAGCGAACAACCCGGAATGCGTAGCAGATATTTATTAAAAAACAATTGCGACTCACTGAACATGGGCGTCAGCAGGGCCACTTCGGCGTGGAAAAAAATCCAACAGAATACGACGTACACGCAGAGATAAAACAACGACTTCTTGGTAAGCTTAAACCGCAAGCCAGACATGGCCAATCGAAATCGTCGTTTTCCTCCGCTTCTACTTACGGTGTTACTGGTGAAAACCTATACGACGTCATGTATATGACGTAATGTTGTGCAGCTAACGAAAGAAATAATATTGTTGGGGGAAAGAAATATTTATAAACATAGCGATTACTTCGACCTTGAATAAAACTAGGTTTTTAACTATTACTGTTTGTTCCTTCCACACATAATCGCGCTTCAATCGCTGCTCTCATAACTCCCTATGCTGACGCCGCTGGCAAAAGTTGCTGAACCACTTTTCGCCCGAACTTTCGCGACCTATGTGAATAGACATTGGCAATCCTTCTAGCATACCATGGACGAAGCCAGGATAAGGGGAGGTAGAAGTTCAAAGTTTCGCCGAATATTTTTCGATTTTGCTAGCTTAAGTATACACGCACATGTACAAACGCATGCACGAACATACATGAAATATGGTCGAACCAAACTTACCCCACATCCCCGAAAAAAATTTCTGGCTACGCTCCTGTAGCATACGGTGAATCGTGGCCTCGAGTATCGCTGGGCCAGAAACAATGCCGAAAGGCATGCGTAAGAAGCGATGGCGGCCATATATATTGCACTCGTAGGGCGAAGCTTCAAACTCGAACCTGCGAGTTCCATTTGCCAAAAGCTTGACGCCGCGTCAAGCCCTAAAGAAAAAAAAAACCTTGGCTCCATCTAGCCTTGGCATTACGTCCTAAACAGTTAACATGGGGTAATTTACATGCAGCTCATGCAGCACTTTGTTAAGGGCAATTGAACCAAAGGAACGCGAACTTTTTACTTTCTTTACAACAGTGCTCATGTAGGTAAACTACTCAATTGGCTCAGCCAGTTACCTGTGTTATGTATGACTCCTTGGTCTTCCATGCGGATGTGTAGTTCCTTTTCCACCTTGTCTTGAAGCACTACGGAGACTTTCCGTGCCGGAACGACGACTACCACGGCACCGGGCTTGAGCTTTATAGTGTAGTGCACGCATTTTAGATACGGACATCCGAGGGGACATCTGCGTACGGCTGTGCTGCCGAGTAAAACCCTCCTTCATGAACGTCTTGGGTGCGACAGATAAAACTGAGGCGTCCTGCTAATGATCCACTCAGGGTCTCGGGTACGTTCTGTTCCACAACGAAAAGCGATTCTTCATACATCCATGCATTGGCCTACAAACACAGACGGTATGTAGCTTTCGCAGAGGTATCATGGCCGATGAACGCCGTCAATGCCGCATCGCAAGCTTGATGCATCTTATCTGGTTGCTCCCGAACGCAGACGTAATGTAACTCATGAAGGCGCCTCTAGCGACAACAACCGCAGATTTGGAAGGATGTTCGCAGCCACTCGCACAGGGGAGCAATCGCGGAACAACGCCTTTTCCGATGCTAATGTTCTTCGTGCTTCTCGCGCTTGGCCAGTGGTCAGTGCGACGGTCGTCCCGCGTTATCAACGCCATCAGCCAGCCGCGAGCGTTAGACGAAAAGAATAGCATAACATATCGCTCCGCGATAGCACCCCTGCGGCAGTCGTGACAGATACGTTTCGAGCTGCCGCCGAGTTTGCTACCACGTTAGCCCGAAGGCGATAAGCTGTGATCGTCTAGTGAGCCAATCCATGGCCAAGTGGTAAACGCGTGCAGTTTTGCTCAAGGGGCTCGTCGGCCTCCGTTGTTGTTTTTGCCTAGAATTAGGTGTGGCTGCGTTCACCTGAGGGTGCACGAAGTCTGGCGAAGAAAAAAGCCCACGGCGTTAACGCTACGGTTCTCTAACGACTGCTAATAATTTATCGTCTTATGAAATCAAACGGGAACGAAAACGCCTCAAGCGAAGCATCAAAGCACGGTGCAGTGGCGTGCTGCCGTTCGCACCGTCTACTCCCGTGTCCCGCCAGGTCTGCTGCCGCGGCCAATTTGGAGCTGGAGGCAGCGCGCGACTGCGGCAGCTGTTAACGTATGCACGGTGCCTAAAAAATAAGAGATAGATAACAATAATTAACGAAATGTCCGGAGATGTCAACCTGGTTTGTCGCCTGGCTTGAGACTCGTGGCGTCGGGGGATCGCTATGGTACACGTACGTAAGCACACAAATAGTACACTCATAAACACAGTTGATGACATGGAGTGTTTAATTTGAATGTGAATGAGTTGTTTCCCTTCAATGCTAACGACTACAATCCAATGGTCTACTGCTATTGTGCTGACTGCCAGTTTCCAAAAAGTAGTCTCGTTATCTTCAGCATAGTGGATGCTTCCCAACTTGACAAAATTAAATTTATGACGCCGTAAGCATATCTTGCAAGCGTATTTGTGTTAGTAGCCTGAATATAGTTTACAACGGGTTACAGAACGCAGATTGTTTGTGGGCCAGTTGGTACGTACTGAGCGAGAGACAGCGCCAGTTATGTTTTCCTTCTCGTTCGTTGATCTCCTTGATATGGATTGAAGTCCCGTCAAGGAGATGATCGGCGTCGATGAAGCAGGAGGCAGGTTGGAGGTAATGAAAACTTGAAGGTATATTACAGCGAAATATTTACAGTCATATGTACATCTTGCCGAACCACACTCATGATAACATAGACATCAACAGCGTCTTACTCTTCTACTTGACTTTTCTTAAGTTAGAGCCTAGAACACTGTTACTACATACAACGTACTTAGTCTCACTGTTCGACCACCAAGTGGTTACGGCCCAGACAAAAGTTGCATCGTACGGAGTCGTACTGATCTATCGGTTAAGTGATTGCAGCCTCGACTGAAGAGAAACGGATTCCCCCCAGTCTTAAGCATCTTGCGGTAACAATGAAAAAGGGGAGGGGGCCACTGCTGGTCCGCCTCACCATTCTCTCATCCAGTCTGTTTCCACTAAGATTAAGTCACTCCCTACTGGGCTGACCTTACTCTCGACAGCAGCGCTTCTACAGTTTAAACAGGTGTTTTTGGTACTCTTTCCCATCATGTCTCTCTCTCCACCTCCCACGCGCTCAGGAATTCTAACGCTCGGGAGATATCGGCATTGTAGACCCGGTACATTCATGCCCTTTCCCACACCCAGCGAGCCGAGACGAACCTCCAAAGCCGGAAATTGAATGATTGCGCGCGGAACGTAATTGCCCCCGCAGGTAGCAAGCGGCCTTTGACTTTCTCCACTTACCTTGTGCTCGGGTCGTGCATCGCTGCGAATTTGAGCCGATCGCCAGAACAGAGCGTGTCGCCTACTCCCACTGAGCTCGCGCCCGGCAGCCGAGGGAGGACGGGGTCGCTTAATCCCATTGTGCGTTTGCCCCCGGCCGCGGCGACTTGTCTCTAAACCACAAACATTCCAAGCCGGTTGGCAAAGCGGGTTCGTTTCACATTGTGTGTTTGTCCCCAGCATCGGAGGAGACGGACGTAGTTTGCATTCCAGAGGATAAGTGGTGTATAGTTACACGGGCATACCGAGAGAGAGTCGAGAAAGAAGCTTTGTATAACGTTGCTTCCCGCGCTGTCGTCCCATGCTCACAGGAAGCAATTTGCGACCTTGCCGAGAGAGATCCGAGAAAGAAGCTTTGAATAACCTAGCTTCTGGTGCTGTCCCATCCGCACGATCAACTTATGAGGGGCAAAACCTAACAGCGCCCATAGATGGGGCTTGTCTAGGCACGCTGTTTCTCCCTCAGGGTTAGAGAAATGCCGCTATAATACCTTTCGTTTTAGCCTTGCTGCGTTTTCCGCGCAGGCCCAATATTTGTTTGGGCAAAATCCTGAGCTGTGTCAATCACTCACTCCAGGATCCAGCTTTTTTTTATTGTGTTAAATGCGAAGCATATTTTATGTACTGCAAGCACTTTTGCCATCTATCTATCTATCTATCTATCTATCTATCTATCTATCTATCTATCTCGACTACGTTTAGGTGCTCTCGTCATCACCTCCTTAACTTGGCGTAAATCCAAATGAGTATGGGAGGGTAAGATGGTTTGACAAATACGACTCGTTGATCGTAACAAGAATAATGTTCCAATCTCGTCGCGTACGTCATCAAACACATTCCGCCAGACAGTGGCACCTACCCGCGGGGGGTATGTGCCAATAATATGCGGATGTGCCACAGGTGAATGACACTTCACGCCTACCCATGAACGGTGAGCAATGTTGCGAATTCGGGTTTGATGGCATCCCACCACTGCCACCATTGTTAGGAATTCCGGTTTGATGGCATCCCACCGCTGCCACCACTGTTAGGAATTCGCTGTGTCGCGATGGTAGCAGTAGCCGAGAGTGGTGACCAGCCAAACGGACGTAGCTGAAGCCTTCGCTCAAGGGCGAAATAGGGAGGCAATCGTTGTGAAAACAGCAACGTTTACTACAGCAGGTTACAGTTTGTACAAAGCCGGCCAGCACGACGAAGTAGGCTGGGGCAATTATTCTCAAACATCAGACCAGTTCCCGGTGCTTGGTGGATGAGGCGAAGCCTTCCCCGGAGCTGCACGGTGGCTCGGCAGAGGAGGCGCAGCCTTCCCTGTTACTGCACGGTGGCTCGCCGCCGTCTGCGTGGAAGGTGACGCTGGGAGGGGGGGGGGTCATCGGAACAGCGCTCGTTTTCGTGGGAAGAAGCGCTCCCGAACGAGGATCATGTCTGGGGCGTAACAGTACACACATGGGTAACTTTAATGCCAAAGAATTAAGAAAAGCTGACATCGGCAGCGTTGACCCGACGATTGTAAAGAAAAAAAAAGATATCAGGGGATTCAGCAGGAATCGAACCCCAGCATTCTGCCTGGCAATCAAATATTCCACCATGAAGCTACGCCAGGCTAACAACTGTTTCTCAAATAGACCATGACGTTCGTGAAGCGTCAACCGGGAATGCAGTGATGGCTATCCAATTTTGTAAACATTAAATATGTACTCTTGCGATGCAGCCGTCACGTCGGGTTAAGATCAACTGTTGTTAAGCGAAATGCACTGAAGGTGATTGAAAGTTTATATTACCAATGAACGGCG